GTGCCAGATTATGGACTTTTCCCTTCAGCTCTTCTTTTCTACCCTTATCTTTTAATATTATTTCGGAAACCCTGTGGATATTTTAATGCACTTTGGAGATCCTGGAGATATTTCTAATGTTAATGATATCTATTGAATATCAAAGAGTCCTGGGTTTAAATTTTCATTTTATATATAATATCTAAATAATCATTGAATGGGTAATTGATATTGCCTGGAAAAAATAATAAAAAAGGACACAATAGGCAAAGAGAACAAGAGCAAGATCTTATGGTGAAAGTGAAGATACAAAATAAAGCAGGAGAAAACAGGTTATTTATGTCTTATTAATGTATTGATGGGCTCTAATCTTGCTAAGTAAAATAAGCCAGACCCAGAGACACTAAAGGTCAAATGTTTCCTTGATATGTGGAAGTTAAACCAAAATAAGGAACAAAAAAGGGGAGCAGATTCCATGAAAATGGAATAGAAGAGAGATCAGTGGAGTATAGGAAGGGGCATGAGGGAGAAGAGGGAAGGAAGAGAAAAGGGAGGAGCGTTGTAATGAATCCTACATAACTTTCCTATGTATAAATATGAATAAGCCACAGTGAATTTCACCTTTATGTGTACCCATAATGCACTAATTTGAAAAAGTAAAAATAAATAGAAAGTCAGAAGAGTTGAGCAATGAGAACCAGGGGAAAGAGAAGGAAGAGAAATTTGAAGTACTGGGGACTGAATTGGGGCAAATTATATTCCATGTATATATGATTATGTCAAAAAGAGCCCTAATATTATGAAACCTAATATAAGGAACCAATAAAAAAAAGCAAAATTACCCAAAGAAAATTATTAAAAAAATATGAACTATTTGATCAAGTATGAAGTACATTTGGTTTAAAATGTACACACTAATAGACAAGATTGCACCAAATGTTTACACTTATAGAATTATCTGGTTTGTACCTATGAGTCATATACCCTACTTGAACCCATTAACCCACAATATTCTGTTTGTAGAATATTCAGAGGAATTCCAGTAATACGGTGACCTAGGTTAAGGTCAAGGAGATCAACATGAGCACCATAGGTTCTCACTGAGAAGTTCTGGGGGATCATTTTTTTGAGACTCATTTAAACCCCCTTCATCTCATCACCTCAAAAATGTCTGGGGAACTGAAAGCACCTGTACAAAGGGTCTCTCTTTGTTTTGCCTGAGCAAATTGTTTTTCCAGGACAGAAAATTAAAAAATACACAAACCATCAACCCAGAGGATGGAGATTGTGGGAAGCACCCTTCTTTCTATAAAATTGTTCCTTTGTTTTCTATAAGCATCTGAAGCTAAAGATTGATTAAAATAAATACTGATAACTGTACAAGGGAGAATTGAAATGGATTGTGTATAAAGTAATTTATTATAAAGGACTTTATCTGTCCACTTCTATATCATACATTGTCTCTGCAGAACAGAAGATCTATCCCTGAACTGCTATCAAAATCTCCACGCATTTACACGACGTGTATTATGCATTCTGAATTCACTATCTACTCCTAAAATTAAATGTAAAAGTTATTAGAAGAAGGAAAATAGGTTTACAAGTATAACATTTTAATCATATGTGGTCTATTCTTCAACATTGTTATTACAGAGTATTTGCACTCAATGTGAGTATATTGTCAGCTGTGGCTAGGAGATATTTACCTCTAAATGTCTTACACCAAAACAAACAAATGAGAACAGAAACAATTTTTAAAATGATGGGTTTCAATAGATTTACATATTTCACAATTTCATGTATGTTAACCTGGTAACTAAGGGCAGAACACATGGTGGATTATGTTTTAAAAGGGATTTTTAACATGCCTAATAGGATGGCTGAAATTCAGAGCACTGGCAACAAGTGACAGAAAGTCTGGAGTGACAGAAAGTCTCATAGCTTATGGGAATGTGAAATGGTAGAGCAAATTTGCAAGATCATTCGGCAGTTTCTTGTAGAGCTAAAGATACTCTTACTATGTGATCCAGTAATTGCACTCTTTGATATTTACTTAGATGAGTTGAAAGCTTATGTCCACCTGAAAATATGAACACAAATGTTTATAGAAGTTGTTATGCTTTAACTTTTTGCAGTATACTCCAAAGGCTCATGTGTGAGATAATGTAAGAATGTTCAAAGGTGAAGTGTACAATAGGTGGATTAATCCACTGATATATATTTCCTTGGTTGATAACTGTAGGCAAGTACGGTGTGGCTCAGGGAGAGCCTTCACACTTTATATTTTACCCCTGCTGAGCAGACCTTACTCTCTACTTCCTGGTTGCCTTGTCCTGAGATGATTTTCACTGCCATACCATTCCACCATGATGTTTTGCCTTACCTTGGGCCCTGAGCTATGGAGTCCTCTGACCAAGGACTAAACCTTTGAAGCCATGACACAAAATAAAACTTTCCTCCTCTAGGTGGCTTTTGTCAGGTGTTTTAGTCACATTAATGAAAAACTGACCAAAATAGAAATTTTATACATAGTTGCTATAATTTGAAAACAAAGCTGCCTTTCATGAACTAAATGAACTAAATGAACTAAATGAACTCAAAAACTGTGTTACATGTATACAGTGGAATAGTAGACAGGGATAAACAGAAATGAGCTACCGAGGAAAGGAGGGGACTTTAAAAGCATATTGCTAAATGAAAGAATTCAATGAGAAAAGGCCACAATACTGTATGGTTCTGACTATAAGATATTCTGGAGTTTTCCTCTATAAAAATCTATAGACATGATAAACAGATCTATGGTTGCCGAGAATTTTAGAGAAGTGAAGAAAGAGGAGGTGAAACTTGAGTTTTTGGACCAGTGAAATTACGATAATATAATTGTTTTAGCCTGACTTTATAATCTTGCCTAAACCCACAAAACTGTAAAATATAATGAGTAAATCCTAATTAAATGGTGGAATTTTAGTTCTTAATAATTTATCAATTTGGTTCATTAATTGTAATTCATGAGCAATAAATTACTAATGCTAAATGTTAATAAGAGGAAACTGTGTATGAACATGGAGGATATAAGAAAACTCTATTTATAGTCAATTTTTCTTTAACTGTAGAACAGTTCCAAATGTAAAGTCTATTAACTTTAAAAAGGATATATAAGATATCAAATATATTGATCAGGAAATGGCAGAAAACAATAAAGAAAGGGAAAAATGTTCTTTGCATTTTTGGAAAACATTGAAAGGATATGTCAGGGAAGAGGGTTAGAATCTGAGAGGCAGATTCCTTATCAGCCTTTAAGGTTGCTTCTGAGTTAAATTTTTTTGACTTTTTTCTTCTAGTTATACGTGGACACAATACCTTTATTTTATTAATTTATTTTTTATGTGTGCTGAGGATCGAACCCAGCACCTCACACATGCTAGGCAAGTGCTCTACCACTGAGCTCCAATCCCAGCCTGTGAGTTAAAATTTTGATCAAAGTTTCTGAGCAATTTTTTCACATGGTTTCAAAGTCAATAGAACTATACGATACAAAGAGTGAATCCTAATGCAAAGAATGGATTTTAGTTCATAATTAAGTGTTAATAATAGTAAATAACAATCATAAAACCATAACAATCATAAAAATCAGAAATATTTTATTACCCAAAGTAGTAAGCAACAGTAATGATAATGATACGTGTTTCAAAACTTAAAAAAGAGATCCCTTCATTATTTCTAGAATTTATTGCTAGTGGACAACATCTGAATCAATGCTTTATGACCTCTAAATGTTTATTTTCTTATTGCTGAAGAAGATTGATAATTCACTTTTTAGGCTGAGGAATAAGATGCTTTAAAAGGATATGAAGGATTACAAAACATTGAATTTGGCACATTTCTTTATTTTGTCAATTAAGCATATCAATTCAAGGAAAAACAGACATGAAAATAATATTTACTTGAAAAACACGACTATTAAATGTGATTAACATCATATGCCTGTCTATGAAAAATTCTATTTGAGGAATGGTATGCCAGTCTTTGAAGACAAAGCAAATATTGAAGCAAGTAAGGTCAGTCTTCTCATTAAATGATGCAATAAGTTTTAAGGGCCACCCTAACTCTGTAGCTAAGCACACTCAAATAATTTAAAGAATGCAAAGCTTGCTCCTCGTGTCAGAAGACAGTGAGTTAATGAGTACAGTTAAGCAATTGGAATTTTTAAAGATGACACAAGCAGGTTATGTACGTGACTTATCACATGCTCTGAGTTTGGTATATAAGCACCCCCTTTCACCTGCTGACATTCACACTCAGGAGCTTGTTTTGAACAGCAAACCAAACTCAACACCTCTGAAACCATGTGTCACCACAGCAGCTACTACGGAGGCCTGCGCTACGGCCTTGGAGGCTTCGGTGGCCTGGGCTATGGCTATGGCTGTGGCTGTGGCAGCTTCCGCAGACTGGGCTGTGGCTGTGGCTATGGAGGCTATGGATATGGCTCTGGCTTTGGAGGCTTTGGAGGCTTTGGAGGCTTTGGATATAGATGTGGCCGTCCATCATGCTATGGAAGATATGGATTCTCTCACTTCTACTGAAATCCTCCCCAGAGGAACATTACTTCTGAGTCCATAAGAGGATTAAGCAAATTTGGCAAAAATTGAATCAAACGATGTTTCTTTGGACCAAAACAATAGCAAAAAATACTTTTTAAGAGTCTACTTTAAGAGTATTTTTCATCCTGTAATTACATGCATCCTGATGTCCTCTATCTGTACTTGAATAAATATAGAATATTTCAGCTGTCTTAATTTGAATGGCATTTATCAATGCATTTATGTGTTTAAATGCTAGCTTTATCTTTGTTGTTCATTTTTCTTCTTGAGTGCTTTCAAAAAGTAATTAAATAAAAACCCCTAAAAATTCTATTCCTGGGTTTATGCAATTATCACATTCAGTTTATGAAGATTTGTCTACATTCCACATTAAACATCTATTTTTATTTAAGCATTTTAGTTCTGATGATCCTTCTTTAACTGTATCTGAATAAAGTAAGTAGTAAACAATGCTGATGCTAAATTCAAATAAAATTAAAGTATTAAGATGAATCAGAAAGATTCAGACTAGTGTGTATGTGTGTGTGTGTGTGTGTGTGTGTGTGTGTGTGTGTGTGTGTGTTATCATGTTTAGACCTGGAAGGTCCCCAGTGTACCATATATCAAAGGCTTGGATCCTCATGCACTAGTATACAGAGGAGGAGATTTGGGAAAGTGATTAGGTCAAGAGGGCTCTGACCTCATTGATGGATCAATTCATTGATGAGTTAATAAAAATGGACTATTGGAAGGTGGTAAAAACTGCATGCAGATGGAGCATGGTTGGAAGAAGTAGGTCACTCAAAGCATACCCTTAGGGTCTATATCTTGCTCCAGCCCCTTTCTATTTTTCCTTTTTTGCTTCCTGGCTGCCAAGAGCTGAGAAACTTTTTACCATCTTGCATGTCTACCATTATATTCTGTCTTAACTTAGGTTCAGAGAAAAGTATAACCATCTGATCATGGACTGAAAACTCTGAAACCATGAGCCAAGACAAACTTTTCCTTTTTGAGATGTTTATGTTGTTTATTCTGTTGTATGGCTTTCTCTTGAGGTAATGAAAATTAAATACAGCAATGGAAATCTGACCAATCTGATTGAAACTTGGTCCTTCTGTATGAGGCAAGCACTCTCTCACTGAGCTACACACCCAACCCATTTCAGATTTGTTTATTAAGCATAGAAAAATATCTTTATGCAACCTGCCTGTAAGAATTTGAATCCATGTAGTCATAGTATATTACTTTACACTGGCAAGCATGAAGCAGGAATGCTGAGTGATTCCAGTGGAGGACTTCACTACTTAGTTTAATAGAGTATAACAATATTTATTCAGTTTTCTGTAATAATAAATAAAAAGAATCAATGCAACTACCAGGAGAGAATGCTTATATTGTTATAATATGTAACAATAATATGTATGTATTATGTATGTAACAATAATAGTACATCTACTATAATATAGCATTATCATAGTATTAGATATTGAATTTATTGCTTTTATGGATTCTTGGAGAATTACAAAGAAATATTCCAGGATATCTTTACTTGCAGGGAACATATTTGCTTATCCTTTGGATAACATATAAAAATACAATCATCAGACCCAAAACTGATGCATTGTTGGCAAAGTTGAATAGGTAGAAGGTGACACCATAAAACTTGTTTGATTTATTTGTGAGTTATATGGCTTTCTCTTGAGGCAATGAAAATTAAATACTCAAATTACCACTGTCTGTTTAGTTTCCTTTAAAATAATTGATTAAAGGGCAAAAAGTTTTAAAGAAAGCTGACAAAAATATTAACTAATAATATTAAAAATTTCTTAATTAGAACCAACAGCACTAAACATGAAATTAATTAATAAAGTAGATTTCACTATATTATTATATTCTTATATGGATACTACTTAATATGAAATAAAACTAACTACATAAGGGGCGAAACTATTGTCGATTCATAAGTCTGACAAAATGTATAGATATACAAAAATATGTAAATAAGTCCTGCTAATAAATACTAAAATATTATAAGCCAAATATAAAATGGAAAAAGTATTTGAACAGGCACTTCACAAAAGAGGATATCTAAAGTGACCTGTAAGCGTATGTAACAATCACTAATATCATTAGGAATTAGGTAAACCAAATTCAAATAATATTCAGATATCACTATAGACTCAGAAGAATGAAAAAAATCAATGATCCTAAAAATGATCTCTATATGTAAAACATCAATTAATTATATGTTTAAAATCAATTTGAAGGCATATTTGCATTGGGATTAGCCAGCCTTCATGTTAGTGTTGGGTCCTGATACAGTTGAGGAACTACTTGTCTCCAATATTATTTCCTACACCCCATCTTTTCACATTGTATTTATAGTTTTGAAGATTATAAAGACATTCCCATGTTAGTAGTCTCTCGATGAACTCTACAGGGTCTTTGGAGGTGGAATATAATCAATATTTAAGACCCTATTAAAATTTAATATATTTGAGAACAAGATAGATATTGCTTGTGTATGAAAAAATGAACAGAAGGAAAGCAAAGGGAAAATTTATTGTGAAATAAACTCATAAATGCAAGGTTTTAAGAACTGAATAAAAAGAGACATGAACCAAGGAGAACTGACTTTAATGTTTGAACAACAGTATGCTAGGATTATCAGATCAAAATGGCTTATATTTATAAAACAAGGAGAATAAAATTGGAAACTATAAATTATGGTTTATGATCTATGTTTTAAACGAATAGAAAAGTGATGACCACATCTCCACTTTTTCCCTAAAGTTCTCTCCTGATACACAGAGCAGATGAGTTGATGCCTCTGGGATTTCCAATGCTCCCTTCCTTCTTAAAGGGACCTCACAAGGCCTCTGAGCAGATATGATAAACTGTAGAGTCTTGAATGCAACCAAATCCCTTCATTGAATCATAAGTGAAACGTAACAGTTCAAAGAAAGCCAGAAGTGAAGAAATGCTCAATTTCAAAACCATACTACCAATACGATAGGTCTGTGGAGACTACTGTTTAGGGGACAGTGTGTCCTGACTTTAAGGACGCTGAAATTTCTTCTTCAGTTTTATAGTTCCAAAGTCGACAGACACAGACATAAAAACAAAAACCATCATCAGTGTTACTAGATTGGGAAGTCATGGGTACAGGACTCCTAGTAAAATGTATTGTCATTTTTATAATGTTCCTTTTTATAACTTACTTTTTATCTGAGTTTTTGGAAAAAAAAAACAGTTTAAATTTATGGAGAAAGGTCTCTTACCTTCCAGTGGAAGATTTGGCCAATGGAAGATTATATTTTCACTATTTTGCAACCCAGGATCTAAGCTTCATAATCAGTTTACTGTCTTCTCGGAGCCATCTGCAAAGAAAAGGATGATAAACAGTTGTCCAAGTTATTGAGTCCACTGAGTTAAGAGAAAAATAACCTCAAAATAAATACACGTTTCTCAATTTCTAAAAGTCATCAGCAGCCAAAGTATATTGCCATTGTTATTTTTTTTAACCTAAAAAAATTGATAAAAAGTATTTGAATGCTTTGGCTTTCATTCCTATACTTTATAGAATCTTTTTATAACTTATGAATATATAAATATATATGTGTGAATGCATATCACAGTGAGATATACATTAGATAGACAACTGTTTTTCTTTGAGGGAAAATAAATCAGGTTAAATAATAAAAATACATTAGGGCATATTTCACTACTGAGAATTTTTTAAAAATTTGCAATACCTATCTTTTTTATGTGAAATAGGCATAGCTATATGCATCAGAAGCAATAACATCAACATTGATGTTATTGATCATTTCAACACAACCTAACAAATTCACCCAAGAATTCATGAGATTCTTAAACTTGCTTGGCATATTTATATTTGCTTACCTCCAAAATGACTCATGGAGAATGAAAAATTTTGCCATCAGTTGTCTTTTTCAGAATGAAAAGTAAAGATGGAATCAATCTTGATAAAAGTTAAAAACGTATTTAACAGCCATGGCAAATATTGAGCTAAATATTCCTTTCAAACCCATGAGCCATTGTGAGTCCATATTCTACTTTAGATCATTTCTATGCTTTGTACTGGTCAAATTCACTTTTCATTCATCCAACAAATAGGGTTTTCCTTCCTTTTTAGAAGAATAGTAAAAGAATCCAGTTGAGAAAATATATTACCAAGAATATTATTTGTAGATCTCAAAACAAAATTAAACAAAAACCTAAAGAACAAAAATACTCTCATACATGTTTAAAGTCATGCGAAGCTGATTAAAGACCCAAGCCCAAGACATGGTCATATTCCAGTGCAGTTTACATTTTTGGCTTGGTTTCCCATCTTTGCAGAGGGGGTTGAAGATCTCTGCAAAGACTGATCTGCTCCCTTCTCATCCTGGTTTCTGCTTACAGCCATTTCAAAGCTGTGATTCATATTTGGGGATTTTCGTAGGCATCAGGACTTTAAGATGCCCTGTTAAAAATAGCATATAGGAGCGTAGACATATTTCTTAAAACATTTGTAAGCTTAATAAATAATGTCTTGTGTAAGCATGTTAGCTTATTGTTAGGAAATAAGGGGAATGAAGTACACAAAACTCTGAAACAATATGCAAAGGTAGATACATAATTCTCAAAGCAGACATATGAATAGAACAATGAAAGTCTGCTTGTAGAAACATATAAGAACAAAATAACCAAATGGTGTTGGTATGTGCTGGGAATGAATTTAACACATGGTTGAAGGGAGGTTTGATAAGGAAAATAGACATATGGATTATGACGAATAGTAGACAAGGAAGAAAAGCATGTAAAGCATGAAGGCAAGATCATCTGACCATTTAGATGATACTTTGTATAGAATCTATTCTAGAAAAGTAGGTCATGGCATGAAGAGAGTATATGTGAACAGATGTTCAGGCTGGTTATAAAAGAATTTATTTTTGGACGATCCCTCAGTTTCTGACATAAAGTTTAGTACATTGATAAATTAAAAAGAGTTTTGTGAGCTGATATAATGACTTTTTATTCATCAGTTTCCATATTTATCGGTGATAATCAGATTTATCTACTCAAAATGATTGCTTTTGATTTGAAGTAAAGCATATCCTTGATTTCTCAACCTAAGAAATACATTTTACATTTGCAGACTGTGCTAGGTTTCAAGATTTTAAACTTGACCATTTATTTGAATCTGAATGGGTGTAAAAGATACCAGTTCCAAAGAATAATATGAAAAATAGAAATAAGAATATACTTAATAAGAAAACACTATCAAAGTTGTATGATGCAACATGCTTCATTATAAAGAATTCTATTCCAGAAATTTTTAATTTTGTAACATTGAAGACATAGACTTTGTCTCATTAAGAAAAGAATGTAATGAGATCAAGCTCAGACTAACCAGGCAGTGAAGCAATCTAAAAAATTTTAACGAGTTGTATTCCTCTCCTTGTGGTTAGCAAACAGATTAATGAGTTGCTTCAACTAAACTAATAATTTAGAATGATACAAAACAATGGCTCCCGGGTTTGACACTCACACTTAGCATTTTCTTCTTGAACAGCAAACCAACTCACCACTCCTGACACCATGAGCCACTATGGCAGCTACTATGGAGGCCTGGGCTATGGCCTTGGAGGCTTCGGTGGCCTGGGCTATGGCTATGGCTGTGGCTGTGGCAGCTTCCGCAGACTGGGCTATGGCTGTGGCTATGGAGACTATGGATATGGCTCTGGCTATGGAGACTATGGATATGGCTCTGGCTTTGGAGGCTTTGGATATGGGTGTGGCCGTCCGTCATGCTATGGAGGATATGGATTCTCTTGCTTCTATTGAAATCCTGCTCTAGTAATTCAACATCTGCTATTATGAGGGGACTTGCTAAAACATTCTTCAGTCAATGGACTTAGATGACTTTAGACTTAAAAACAGGTGAAATATAAGAATTTCAGAGAAATCAGAAATTATTTTGTGACTTCATCCTAGATAGGAGATGCAGAGCTGGTTAAATTCCCAATAAATGATCTAATATGAAATTAAAAATATGGCTTTTGTTTGGTTTATTTAATTCAATTATGTATCCATACTTAAGTTTTGAAAATTGTCAAGTAGAAATACAGTGCACACATGATTATAAATGCATGTAAATGAATATATGGAAATTGAAAGGTAGAAAACATTCCAAACATAAAGAAAAATTAAGGAGAAGAAAAATATGGTTGCCTTGATTTAATCAGAACTTGGTATATATACATATGTTGTGATATCACACCATACCTTGTTAGTATTTCCCTTCTCTTAGATTAATACTTAGGTTTATTTAACATTTTATTTTTCTTATACTGATAAGTGAACCAAACACTTAATATTTTATCTGACTCTGAATGTCATTATCTAATGACCCAATGTTAAAATTCAACTCTGGGTTAAAAATCAAACCAAACGTCATCATATAGAGCTCTTTTTTCAGTCAATGTTGTTGAGTGTGAGTGGACCACCATAGTGGGTTGAGCAGGGAAAACAGAACTATGCAAACCTGTCAAAGACCAAGTTATATAGCCTGAATCAGCTGCACAGGGTATCTCTAGAAGCATTTTTTTTCTGACATGGATGGTATCTCTAGGGATATTGTCCATGTAGTAAACAATATAATTATGACTGATGTTGATAGTCTTAGTATAATCCATATCATAATTTCATTTTAAGATCACATTGATCTATATTTAAGTTGAGAAAAAAATATTTGAAAGCACAACAAAAGTTGTTTCCCTCTGTGTAAAAAACACAAAAACATTTTTCATTTCTTCCTCTACCCATAATGAATGGAATTCTAGGTCACAAATTAAAACTTCTAAAAAATTAATAATGATGCAAATGTGCTTTTGATCCAGTGAAATGACAGACAAAATACCATCCTTTTAAATAAAATTCCTTTGAGACATCTTTAACTTGTACATTCAGTGAACAAAAAGCAACAGATTTTTTGCATACTTTTCAAACTGTTCTTTTCTTGTTTTTATAGTGAAGAAATAAGTTACACAAATAATAGATGTTTTCTTTATTGAATATGTATAGTTCACTGTACTATTAAAGCATTCCATTTGTGTATCATATTGTTTCCATATATGGAGACAGTCTTATGCCTCAAAACCAAAAATAGGCTTTGATCATAATCACATTCAATGACAGAGTTACACAAGAAGAATATGAAATCCTTAAGTATGTAATTTTTTTTACAGTTCTAAATAGTGCATTAAAAATGAAATTATCAATTTTTCTGAAATGGTGAGTAAAAATGGATTGAAGTTGGGTCAGAGTAGCATAAGTATCACAGGGCAAGACTAGTATTGGGTTCAGTGACATTCTAATACCAGACATCTTATTGGAACTCATGTCTAGCCTTAAACATTTTTCTAGAATAATCAGTAAGTAGCTCTCATTGTATTGAGTGGCCTTGCTTTAATGTCTGTTAAAGTCATATAACCATATGCTTCATTCAAAAAATGTTTTTGAGTATTAACTAAATTTTATTCTTAATTTTGACAATAGGTCAGGGAACAAACCCAGTGGGGGGGGGAAAGTGTCCCTTTTCAATTATGAATAAACTACTACAGTATTCAAAGTATGTCACTGAAATATTACTCAAAAATATGAAACATATCTTATCAGTATAACTAGAGTCATATGAAACAAGTAAGTTTTATGAGTTTCAAATGTTAAAATGTGCACTTGGTGAGGCTTAAGGTGAGGTCAGACATGGGTGTTTCCTCCCCTCTGGGCTGAACTGAGTGACACAGTGAACACCCGGCTAACAACTGGTCCTAAAAAAAATGTCTCTTTATATTTAGACTTTTTTTGTAATTTTGTCTTCTTTTTAGAGAATTTCTTAAGTTGTTCTAAATACTAAAAATCCTTTTAACTTTCCAAATTATTTTAAGAGTTGAAATATTTTTCAAGTGAGAAATAACTTTATCAGTATCTTAGAAAGATCTGATTGATATTTTTGGACAGGATAGTTAGAAATGGCCTGGAAATGAAAAATGGGTTCAGAACAGGCCAAGTGAAGACAAGGGTAAATTTTTTCCTGATCATGGAGATCTGCATAAAAGGGATATAGTATTAATTTGAAAAAAATGATTATAATCAAAACCATATGACATGCTTCATGCTTTCAACTGGATACAGTGATGAAAATTGGAGCAAAGGACATTGGGTGATGCTTGAAGTGAGATTTGAAAAAGGTACAAGCCTCATGTCTAATGATTAACGATAAAGAGGGAGAGATGATGCAAGGAGGATGTTTAGTCTTGCATGTGGGATTGCTGAAGCCAGAACTTATTAGAAAGAGAGGACTAGGTTCTAAATAGAGAACTCTGGGAAAACTTCTCCTGAGATGGGTTTGTGATCCCTATACTAGTCTCTCCACTGGTGATTGTACAAATATCTTGGATATTAGTTTGTAAATCCAAAAGTAAATATGTCAACTGTGTTTAGTGAAAGTTCTAAAACTCTAAAGTCAGGTGATGTTTTGCTATTGTTTTCTGGTACTTTCAGCCACTGAATCAAATAGTTCTTGTTTCTCATGTTACAAAACATGTAGGCCTTTTCAAGAAATTGATCACTTTAAAAATCCTGCCTGCCTATTACTTGAAATATTGCAGAATCTATTATCATGACCACACAATTCCTTTAGAATATACTTAGTTAGATATTTTAAAGTATTTAATGACTGATATCTTGTGGCTAGGAATAAAGAATTCTCTTTAGGGTTTGGTATGCGTAATCTCGGAAAAAACAGCAAATTCTTCCAATAAAATTAAAGCAATAAGATAAAGGACATCTAAGTAGGTAGCCAAGCAAGTTCAGACAACCTTAGTAAATGGTTTTCAAGAGACAATAGATTAATGAGTTGTGTCAGACAAGTATAATGCATGGAATGATACAGAAGGAGGGCACATGATTTATCACATGCTCTGATCTACTATATAATCAGCTCTCTGCACCTGCTAACATTTACACTCAAGATCTTGACTTGAACAGCAAACCAACTCACCACACCTGACACCATGAGCTACTATGGCAGCTACTATGGAAGCTTTGGAGGCTTTGGTGGCCTAGGCTATGGCTATGGCTGTGGCTGTGGCAGCTTTCACAGACTGGGCTATGGCTGTGGTTATGGAGGCTATGGATATGGCTCTGGCTTTGGAGGCTATGGGTATGGATTGGGCCGCCCATCATACTATGGAGGATATGGATTTTCTCACTTCTACTAGATGATTACTGAAAACAGAAGCAGAGAAAAACCTTCAATTGTGTTTGCTCCTATCCCTTGTCTTATTCTGAAAAAATCCACCCTATTTTCTCCATCATCAATTGATTGATATTTATCATTGTTTAAGTTACTTCTATGAACATATAAAACCATTTCTCTGGCTCCATACACTCATGATATAATGCATATTTAATATCTATAAGCATTCTAGTTTACTTTCCTCATTTGGATTTAATTTTCTTACCACCTTTACTATGACATTATCTTTCGAGCAAATAGCTAGGGAACAATTATATTTTGCATTTATCTCATAAATTGATTGCTTAAAATAAATATATTCTTGTTATTTTCTATGTTTTTTCTTATATTAGTTTAACAAAACAATTACTGTGAAGAAATTTACCATGAAGAAGTGAGGTCTGTGTTCCAATAACAGTCTAATGAGAACATTTCTAGTGTGCTGTTACACAAACTCAGGAGCATGAGATATCATATTAATGATAAATGAAAACAGCTTACCTCCATTAAATCACTGAGGATAAGTGTCCTTCAAGTGTTCCTGGAATTACTATGGAGATGGCCATTCTCATATTCTGTTACATGATATTTCTGTTCAATGAATATCATCTTGGTACCATTGTTCCAGTCAGTCATGCCCTTGCATTTTTTTCAAACTTTCTTTTGGTGGAATGAAGCAGATTGGCAAGTAATATTTATTTCCTAAGCAATCTACGTTTTTCATCAACTGAGGGCCATTGTCCCTTATAATTCTGACCTACTTGTAATGGCCATGATACAAAAGAATCATATGTTACAATGTTCTTTACAAAACTGGGGTAGGGGGTGCAGGTGTAGGATTTTCAGATTTCTTTTTGTGTTCTATTAGAGGGCTCTTAATGTACTGTAGACTTTCTTATGAATGGATGATGACACACAATTCAATTTTATTAGTGCACTAGATGCTTTTCTGATAAGACCCCCTCTTGGCTGCCAATTCTGGCCCCATTAGTCAATCAAGATCCAAGATCGAATAACCCAGTTCTTTCTTCCCTTAGGATTGTTCCCACCCAGAAAATTCCTCACTTCTTCCAGAGTGAATTCCCTTTCGTTTCTTCTTCAAGTCTATCACTCTTGGTCAGGCACTTTAGAACTTCAACAGTGATCACAGTTGGAGCACTCATCTAGTAAACTTCTTGGAGAACTTTAAAATTGTCCAGAGAAGCCTGCTCCAACAGTGTATCGGATATGATCAGACATATCTGAACTTAAATTCAAGTTTGGACCCCTATGATATATTTCTTATTCCCCTTCAAAAGGGGAAAATAGCTCTATGTACAGTTTCTCATAGAAAAACTATAAATCTTCTTTACCTATATATAGTTTTTATTTCAAATCA